ATCCACCCCTCCATTTCTTCCTGCATATTTGTTGCACAATCGGTTCCTGCTGGGTTGGTTCGCTCATTGCCAGAGACCTCTGTTGCTGATCTTTTTTGACCGGTCATCTGATCTTGAGTGTTGAGCCGAGAAAATTGTTAATGAAGGTCTGTAGTTTGTTTGAGATGCTCTTTATGACGCGCAGTGAAAGTCTCTGATCCTTATAGTAGCACTGTCTGACTTCACATTGGAGTTGAAAATCCGGATGTTATTTTTGATGCTGAGTGGTGTTGACCTCCACACAGACTTAAGGGTAATGAAAGCCTGTCTTGCTTTCCCAATTCTGGCTTTGATATCCTCGTCAGTTCCGCCTGCGTATAGTTGAAACGATGCTTCCTAAGTAGGTAGGTGAAGGAGGTTGTTTCTTTCAGGTTCCTCCCATTTATGCTGGCTGATTGTCGTCTCTTGTTGTTGCTGTTGATTTTGCCCAGGAATCTTCATCACCCCCGTATCCTCTATGTTTACTTGGAGTCCTATCTTTGATGCTTCTTCTGTCAACTTGTTGCTTTCCACTTACATATCTTCCAGTTTGTGGGAAATCAGACATATATCACCGGCGAAGTCTAGTTCCTTTAAGATTTTTGTGTGGGTCCATTTTATATCTATTTCATCATTGCCCACCGCTGTCTGTCGCGTTATCCAATCTACTGCAATCAGGAAAATCATTGGCGATATTAGGCAGTCTTGTCTTACTCCCATCTTTGGACTATATTACCTGCCTAATAGTTTTGTTGTGATAATTTCGATACTGTTTTATTGCTGTTTAGTGGATCCACGAAATTATTCCTGAATAACCGTCTTTTTTTACCGTCTTTCGTGACTGTGCGTATCCGAAGTAAGTTTGCCAGCTATCCAGCAGAATGCAGAGATCGGTTTCCTGCGTTCACTTCTGGTCGCCAAAATATGGGCATCCCATTGATATGATTGATTATGAGCAGAAGTAAATTGTGTATAAAATCGTCATCGATAAATAAGTTATTCTGCATCACTGTGTTTATCGTTTCATCACATAAAATTATTTTATAATGGAGTTATTAATCTGATCTTGTATTGATTACGATTTCAGGGGGAAGGGTGAGGCCAATAACCAGTCAATCAGCTGTGTGAATTCTAGATCATAGAAGATCTTCACAATAGGTAAGATCGGTCATTTGTGCAGGTTAGCCTATGTGATAAATTGCACAGCGGTGTAAGGGAATGAAAATATGAGATATCTATGCACCGGGTGACGCATATTAACCCACCACTCAGTAGGGTAAGTGGTGTCCCACTGAACCACATAGTTAACGTTGTTGTCCATAGGCACTTGACTTCATGCAATAAATTTGCTAAAGGGATTTTGTCTAACTTGGAGCATCCACTTTACTCTCAGCTTCCAACTTCCGTCTCCTCAGGTAGAACAAGAAGTAACTTCAGAAAACTGTATACTCGCACGTCTAAGTATAAAAATTCTATGATACCATACTTGGCATGTATTTTATGTGATGAAAATAGTGTCAGGCAAGAATTAACTAACTTTTCTTCATCTAGTAAATAAACAATTTCCTCCATCCATCCTTATATACCTTCAAGTTTTACTTTTATTATTTCTATTATATTTATGGTCCTGCTGCTTCACTGTTTTACTCTCATAATTGCAAACACCAACTTATCTCCATGACGGCTGTAATCTTTGTTTTTCCCCTCGCCATCATCATCATCATGTAAAGAGAACATTATATTCAATATTCTTAAACATGTTAGGATTTCTATACCGCATTGACAATACTGTGTGAAACAAGCCAACGGCAATTTTCACTTGTACTCTTATTATTATTACCCTAGCTGTTATCATTATGATTATTATTTCCATTTTATATGCTCCATGTTTTTGACACTACCTCTATTGTAAATGTGGAAAATTTTCTGTGTGATTAATTTTTATTTATAATTTGAGGGAATTAGATACAATATTGTGATTAATGCTGAAAATTCCATTCTGTATCACAAGTACTGTTTTTTGGAATAAAGTAAATTATTATTATTAATATTATTATTACTATTATTATTTTGAGACTATGAGTCGTATTATCACAACTTATTGGGTGATTTATGTTTAATATCACAAACACTTGCAAATCTACAAACGAATATCAACAAGGCAGGCAGAGAAGACACAAATTCAAGTGCATACAGAGGAGGAAGTGAGAGATGTTGAAGATATCCGATAACCAACAACGACAAGTATCAATCCCTACCAGTGAGAGAGAGATCTGAAAGAAGTCTCCCTGTCCATTGATATTTAGGCAGTATCGTTTAAACCACAGACCACCCTGCATGGATGAAGATTTCAAATCGAAACAGAGTTGAAAAAAGTCAAATGGATCTTCTCTACTCTGAAATTAGTGTAGAACTCTGCTGGAATCAGCATCATGAACGTGATGCAAACTCTCAAGTTAATCAGCGCCTCGATATGATCCAGATAAATAGTCTTGTAGAAGTCACAAAAAGCATTTCTAACAAGTGGCTGTAAAAACCCTCATCAACAGGTATATTTCTTGGACACTGAAGACTAGATGATTGGCAAGAAAGAATCAGCGAGTAGAAACTCTTACAGGCAAAGAACCAAACAAATATGTTCAAGTAAAAATCGAGACGGATCGAACATAAACTGAGGAGACCTTTAAGCGATATCATGTCATTAACTGATAGTATCATGAAGGGGATCGTGTGAGGTGGAGATAAAATGCTTCTAATGCTCCCCTGGATTATTTTCATATGAATTCAGGGGAATAATAAAAATAATCGGTGGGTCATCCGTCCTGACAGGCGACTGGATGGACCTCACTGGTCACGACTTCTTGATGGAAGTCCAGGAAACTCCGTTCTGTAACAAGTCACTAGCGAGCATCAAGTTACATTAATTGGTGGACGCTCTAAATCACGAATCTGTAGAAATTAGAATTCATGGGCTAGCCGTTGAATCCGGTCCCATTGGCTGAATGGTATACGAATTTGCCTTGTAACCGGATTGTCGGAACATAACAATGGTTGACCCTCAGAAGATCAGTAATTTAGAAAAAACCTCAGCTATTGCACTGCATGCATTAACACACAACCACACAGTAGCATAGTGGGAGATGGTTTAGATTCTAAGAAGTAATCTATGTAGGTGGAGAGAGTGAGAGAGATTGGTTACTGAATCCTGACTGGTTCATCGAGTAAATGTATACCCAGCACATTCAACAGAAATGACTCAATGCAAATACCAGAAATATGCATGGAAGATATTATTACCACCAGTCAGTCAAATCACAGGAGGACAATAAATAATCTCAAATTGTATTCTATTTCAATTCAATTCAAGCACATCGCAAGATTCTAACAAGTAGCTTATTGTGACTATAAAAACACTCGTCTTATTTCCCATCTGATTGTATTTGATCAATAACACTCATATTATTGTTTCTGAATGTTCATCACCCTACATTGAATTTTTATTCAAATATCTAGTCAATTCCACACAGGTATACAAATGAAGTCAAAAGTTGTGTGAGTGAGTAACTTGGTATGAATATAAGTGTCAATACTTTGTGCTTGAAACGTGGTCACATCAGTTAATATTACTGTACAACACTGTGTGATTAATCAAAACAAAATCTTATCGATAATGGGGTTATACTCTACCACAGTGCCCAAGTTGTATACTTTTATCAAGGTCTATATACATTTTTTTCATTTATGCCTTCCTTCAGCCTTTTTATCTGTATTGTAGTGGGATCTGTGGCATGACTTTCACTTTATCCTACGACTCTCAACTAGCGTTTATTTTTTCTCCATATAATCGATACCATGTCTCCCTGGCATCAACTGACCGCTTCCTATTCGACTTCTTCTAGAGAATATCATCACCGAATGTATAATCCATTCCCACTTACTTCTGCATATTTGCAATAGGTTGTTGCTTAGTTCTCTACAGTGTCAGACTACCTTGGTGATTATCGCTTCTGGTAGGCCATCCAATCTTCAGATATTGATATGAGTCCAACTCTGGCTAATATAAATGCTTCCAGTGGAACGCCCACCTAGTCACTGAATGATACAAAAGCGCTGGTTGACGACTTGGTATGATTTTTGAAAATTCATATTTCATCTCTTAAGTTTACTTCAGAGTAATGCATATCTCTGGTGCCTTCCTGGTGCTGATTGGCTGGCTAGTTGGCCGGCTGACTTTGACACCGTCATTCTTATCACCATTAAGGCGAAGTGTTACTGTCCAGTCAGGTGAGCGAATCACAGGTGACTACGCTTAAATTTCTTCCAGTGGGGATGATTAGCGTTTGTTGTTCTTTTTCTGTTTGGTTACCTCTGTCAACTTTGTCTTCTATATCTTCACTTGACTGACTTCTCTGCAGACTTTCATCACAAGACAACGTGGCCTATTCATCATTTGTGGTGGTTGCTTTTAGTTGGGAAATATAACAGAGAATGTCACCGTTGCATATACCTTTAAGCGTCGGTGGCACAGTGGTTAGGACTCTCACCGACTGTGTGACTTATCAAAATAAAATCTTATCCATAATGGAGTTATACCCTACCACAGTTCCCAAGTTTTATAATTATATCAATTCTTACTTCTATCAATCCGTGATTTAGCGCAACTACCAACCAATGTCATCGATGGGACATCCATCTCTCCCCACCTGACTTGTATACGAGCTTGCCTTGTAACCGGAAGGTACTGAATTATAAACTCGTGTGTTGGGTGCGTACTATCGATGATTCCCTGAGTAGGAAGAAACAGCCACTGTCCAGTACTCCCTACTGGTTTTCAATGGTCGTTTCTCTAACTGACATCAATCCGCGATTAACTCGTAAAATTAAAAATAGTCTAATCCTTACAAACGAACTATAGAAAAATAATAATGATAAATCATAATAAAATCATAATAAATTGTGTGTCACACACAAAAAAAACTTACCTCTTCGTAATTCTTGTCTTTCCAGTAGACATTTCCATTCCATTTGAGCAACAGAATTTTTCGAATCCAGTGTACAACATTGAAATCTTTCTTCTAATTCATTTCTAATCTGTTGCATAATATCATGATCAATCCTGTTTGAATCTTTACTATTGCTGTTTTTATTTTTACCGCTATTTTTACTATTCAACGTGTATTCACTTTTACTCAGATGTTTTCTCAATGCCAGTCGAGAATTCGATTTTTTAGCCTCACTTTTGGTATTACTATTATTAGTAGTATTACCAGCATTATTGAAATTCTGAGATGATCCTGTTGATAGCGGAACGGTTGGCATACGTGAATTGGCATTTTCAATGATTGGAGCATTTTGCATAGACGGTGAATTATTATCATCCAGTGAAATCACTGAAGTTCGTATATCGCCTAATTCACTAAGTCGGCTAACACTTTGAGATTTATACTTGTACAACTTTTTTAGATTCTTTTTCTCTGATTTCTACGCGAAATTTAAAAAAAAGAGAGACATACAAAAGGGAAAGAAGAAATTTTACAGGAAAAGATGGTCACATAATTTGTAAAATAGTTCATTAGCTCAAATCCATGCTTTGTATCCAACCCCTGTCCCTGCCATGGCCATCATAAACAGGTAATTTTTTTGTATACAATTGGTGGATGGTGGCTAGCAGTGGAATCCAGGATGCGCATTTCGTCCTATTTGGGACTCTTCAGCTGGATGTACCTGCATTTCTCAGTGAGCGATGATGTTCCCACCGAGGCTCGAACCCAGTGCCCATAGCTTCAAACGCCAAAGCGTTATTAAGGTAATTTTTTTGTTTAGTAATGACCATCCCATCGCCTTTCTTACCTAAACTTCCTGTTTTTTCCAATCCCTGTTTACAACTACCATATTTTCATACCTGAACTTCGAGTTTATTTAATCATTTTACTATTTCTACATATTTAATCCCTGATTGCATAAACAATTATTCGTCACATTAGTTTTTTATCCAAACATCTTGTCTATTCTTGTTATTCCTATATTTCTAAAGCCCAAATGCACAATGTCAATCTTCTTTGTAATTATTATGCTACTTTGTCTAAGTTTTATCCGTTCCCCTGTTTATTATGACATTTTAATAATTCCTAATTGTAATTTTTATTAATTTGCCCCTTAATCGGAAATTATTCTGAAACTTTCCCATGCATTGGATATAAATACACAAATGTACAGCCTAGTTGACGGTGATTTCGTCGAAAAGAAAATTTTCTTCGCTGCAATTGTCTTCTTAATAACTCCTATGACCCAATGTGTATATTCCGTGAGTTCATTAAATGTATAAATCTCAAAGGGGTGTAAAAAGTAATAATATTAGTAGGCAAAGAGCAATACAAACACCCCTTTAGTTACATGCTCATTAAATCTACAAGAAATATTGTTAAATGTCTTATGAACAGAACAAGAAAGTTATGTATGGATGATCATTTACAAAAGGAATTTGAATGTACTGTTCATGATTCCTTGACGGAGATGACTTGACAAGTGATATTCTCTTCCAAAGACTTTCAAAGAGTATACGAAAGAAGTTTTACACAGCAAGCCTATATTTGTCATTCTCTAGCTCACGAATGATTGCGATTCAGACGAAGGATAAGCTTGATAGTTTTGCCACATCTATGTTTATTTATCAGTTCACCTGCACCTGTAGTGACAGTTATGTTGGGTACACTACTACTAGACAGCTTAGCCAACGCGTCACTACTGAACATCTCCCATCGTGGTGATTTGGCAAAGGACAGACAAAAACAATCCGTAGCTCAATTTTGTCACATTTAATTGATACTGGTCATGTATTGGAGATCATGAAAGCTTTCAAGGTGATTCATCGTATCCCACTGAATATTTCCAATAGACATCGTATTCGTCTACTGCACGCACACACACAGCCGAGGTGATGGGCATTCGAACTATTAAGCCTAAACTATGCATTCAAAAGAAGTTCATACCGCCATTATCCCTGATTGGTTTACATTTGAATTTTTATTTGTAAAGTTATGTAGATATATTAGAGTTAAGCCTGATGAAATCTAATTGCGAAAAAAAATATCATTCGATTAAATGTGTTGTTATAAATTTTACTACGGGGATATTTAAGACATTAAAAATAAATGGTGGCAACTGTGATTAACATAACACATTGGTCAGAATGGACGTTCTCTTTGTCTTCGCCTATACGAACATAAACAAGCTGTCAAACGACATGATCTCTATATTTTTTAGTATCAATGCATGCCGATAATTTTTTTTTTATATTTTTTTTTGATTTACAGCTTGATTCCACACTGTATTTTTGGTACAAGTATGGAATTTTCAGCATGGATATCGGTAGCCCAAATTTTGCAGGCCGACCATAGATATCAGGTGTGCGTCGGCGTGGGCTCGAACCCCGGACCATGTGCATGGTCGACGAGAGTCCTAACCACTGTGCCACCGACGCACATACAGTAATTCTGTTGGAAAAATGTAAACATCTCAGAGAAGGGAAACACCGAAAATGTCAGGAGATTTCCAAAAGCCTTGTACTCCGACAAATCTGTAGGTGTGAAACTTGACCATTTTTGTAGTATTTAATTCCATATTATTTTTTGTTTATTGGACATATTATACACAGGGTGAAACATCATTGTTTCAAACACAAGCATTTATTTAATTCACAGTTTAAGATTTTCCAGTCGATTGGTTAAAACAAAGTGCTCGGTCTCAGTTTAACATGTCGGCTTCTTGTACAGATACTTCGACTTGAGACCGAGCACTTCAGTCCAATAAATAATAATGATAATCTACTTTATTCCAAAAACAGTACTTATAATACAAAATGGAATTCTCAGCGTTTGTCACAAAATTGTAGTTGATTTACTTAAAATATAAATAAAATTAAGAATTAAAACAAAATTAACCAGAGGATTTTGTCCACATTTACGATATACACTCAAAATTATTCGAAGTACAAAATGAGATTATTAAATATAATAATAATAACAGTGAGTTTGTTTCAAACACTATTGTCGATTCAGTTTGGAAATTTTAGCATGTTAAAGATTATTGGATCTAATGTTTTGTTGATATAGTAAAGTGAGGGGAAATACAAAATTAACAGTTCTAACGCAGATTAAATAAACAAAAACAAAAAATTGAGTGTTGTAAATACAAAAAATGCAATAACAATAAAGTTTGATGGTGTAAGTGTGGAGGAAATGGTTTATTTAGTTTTGCATAGAAGGTTAATTAGTTCGTGTCTAACACTATTTTCATCACATAAAGTACGTGCCAAATATGGTAATAGTGGAAATTTTATACTTAGACGTACGTGCATAAAGTCTTTTGAAATGACTCCTTGTTTTACCTAAGCGGACACAGGGTGAAATCTGCGGGCAAAGTGGATGCTCACAGTCTGATAAAATCCCTTTAGCGAATTTGTTGCATGACATCAAGTGCCTGTCAATGACACTGTCAACAATATGGCCCAATGGGATACCATCACTCACTCTACTTACTGACAGTCTTCAGAGTTCTACGAAGTATGACATAGTCACTTTTAAGCAATCCAGGAAAGAATAAGGGTGAACACTAAAGAAGAATAGGTAAAATACACGAGCTGACAAACTGTAAGACGAGTGGTTGGGTTATGCCTGAGTGCCTTAACTTCTTAATGCAAGGAGTCAGACGAAATATTCTTTTAGAAACTGGTAGGACGTTGGAAGACGCGGATAGATCACAAGAAAGAATCAATCTAAGATACATTTCTACATCACTATCATCGATTTTGCAAAGACCATAGGGATTAACAGCTTTACTTAACTTTGTTTTACATCGGAAACTGAGGTTGACAGTTTGATTTTTGGAAGGATTTGGTTTAAGACCATTAGACGAATACCATTTTCTGACTCCTGATAGAAAGCTGTCCATCCTAGTACAGTCTATCTGGGAGTTAACAGACATTGAAGTAGTTAGATCGTCGGCATACTTATCAAGGTACGTTTCATCAGAGTGAGGCAAGACATGCAAGAAGAAGGAAAACAGAAAAGGAGAAGGGGCAGTGCCTTGAGGGACACCAGCCTCAGTAAGTAACGAAGTGGACGACTTTCCCTGACATACAGTGTACTGCTTTCTTTCTGAGAAATAAGAATGCAGCCATTTGATAACCCAACAGTCAGTTTGAGTTTCGGCAAGCTTGTTTAACAAAATATCCCTAGGTACTGAGTCGAAAGCAGATGTGTAATCTAGGAAGTTGCAGCGAATAAATTTAGCCCCCTTGTCTAAGCTGGAGACACTGTTATGACAGAGAACTGCAACTGCATCCAAAGTACTTCTACTGTGTTTATAAGCGAATTGTTTGGGATCGTTAAAGGCTTTAACTGAAGGTTGAAGATTAAGTAAGAGTAACTTTTCCATAGCTTTTAGAAAAGGAGACGTAATAGCAATAGGTCTAAATTTAAAACATGTTCCAGTAGACGAATTAGATATAGGTACAATTTTAATGTCCTTCCAAACGGCTGGCACGACATTTCTGGAAGAAGATTCATTAAATATGTCCATGAGAGTATCTGCACACTTTTTAAGAATAACACTAGGCAAACCATCTGGACCTAGACTACAAGAAGGTTTCAGAGACTGGAGACATTTTAGAGCATCATTTGTAGTGAAACCAGGGAAACCGGTTTCATTGACACTTGTAACACTAGAAAGTTTGGCATTTGTTAGAGAATGTATGAAAGACGGGAAAATCTAAAATCGAATTAAATAATTAAAATGAGCTGTTGCACAAGAGGTAGCTCTCGTCGCCCAGGTGGTCTAGTGGGTAACGCTTTGGCGTTTGAAACTATGGGCACTGGGTTGGAGCCTTGGTGGTGGGAACACCATCACTCACTATGCAATGCAGGTACATCCAATTGACGAGTCCCAAATAGGACGAAATGCACAACCTTGAATTCCACTAATAGTCGCCATCCCCCAATGAACAAGTATTTATTATTCATTCAGTTATCAATTGTAACTCTTGTAACACTTTGCTTCCTATTTGTTGTAGGGGTAGAAGAATTTTTCAGATGTTTAGGACAGGGGTTAACTCATTCCTATTGCACGCGCTTTCATTCGATTGGATAAATACAGCTTTTATTAATATCTCCCTACACCATGTTCAATATGGCCGACCTTATTGTATGTTTGTGTGTCCCTGCATGTACACTGATATGACTGACCTTTATTTTCACAACTTCTTAGCTTAGTAGGTAGAGTCATCTAATTTTTTGTACTCCGCTAGTCTAATTTACCTCGTCCTATCATTTTGACCTATGTAACTGACCTCATAATCCTGTCGGGTTATCAGATAAACCAAATTGGTTTATTTAATGAGCTCCACAGGTTCTTTTAACCGACATAAATTGTTTCTAAGTGAGATTGTAGGTTATTGAAGGCTACTTTTATTTCTAATAGTGTGA